TCAGGTGGCCTCAGATACCTGAGATGCCTCTGCCCACTGCCCTCCTGGCCCTCGGGCTCACAGCCTCTCCTCCTCCCAGCGAACCCCAGTCTTGGCTTGTCCTGGGACCCACGGGGTGCAGCTGAGTGCTGACTGTCTCCTGGGCCCACTGAAGCGGAGAGGTATCTGCCCCGCCCCCTTGGGCCTTCAGTGCTCCTTGACCGCGTCGCTCAGGGGGAGGAGACCCACGTGGGTGCGTTGGGCCCGATCACTGGGGACTCATGACACATTTGCTGAACGTCTTCGGTGTGTGCCCCTCCTCCCTGGGCCACTGAGAGGCCAGCGGCGTCGAAAACACGGGCAGTGTCCTCATGGATGTCCCTGTGTCTCTGAGGCAACCGGGGAAGGAAATTGCACTGATTAATTGGGCAGCTATTTACCAGATTCTGTGCACCAGTGTTTAATCTAAGCCGCACTGATTCCCGCTGGGAGCAGGGTAGTTATGCCCATTTTGCAGATGAGCAAACTGTGGCCATAGGGCAGAGAACTCGCTGGGGATCACAGAGCTAACCAACGACGGCATCGCGGTCTGCAGACCCTCAGCCTTCCTTCCCGCTCCCGGCTACCTGCGACTTGTCTGCCTTCGGTTTTCTCTGAATTCCTTTTGAGAGGGAAGTGAGAAAGGAAGAAGTGAGGATAGGAACCGGTGTGGCAGCCGGTGGGGTGACTCGGAGTCCAGTTTTTGGCACTGAGTGGGGTTTTAGTGGGCGGAGCCCTGTCCTGACCTGATCCCGCGTGTGGAGGGGACTCCGTCTGCACTTCTTGGAGACGGGGCTGGCGTGCCTCCTCACCCAGCACCCTGCGCGGTGGAGGGGGAGGCCTGGGGGGTGAATTTGGGGCTCCCACCCACAGGGTGAGGGTGGCCTGGCCCTGTCACCCCGTCTGCTCGCTGATGGCCTTGTCCCTTTTCAGTCTGACATTCTGCACTGGGACTTCCCAGGGGGCAGCGGAGAAGGGCATGGGCTGGCACCCACTGCTTGGTCTCGAGCCCAGCGAGAGAACTTGCTGAGCCAACAGGGACCTCGTGTTGCTGGGGGCTGAACCCTGGGCGTGGGCTCCAGAGCGCCCCACACCAGGTCACCTCCCCGCTGTCCCTCCCTCCTGGCGAAGGAGGTCAGTGTTGCCTGTAAGGCCGTGTCCACTGTGGGAACCGCTTCTTTGAGTGAGCCTCACAGTCTTGGGCTGGTGAATCGGAACCCCAGAGAGGACACCTGTGGAGGGAGCACGTGGCGAAGAAGTAAGGGTGAGCGTCAGAGGCCCCCCACTCTTGGCCACACTGACGGCGCCTTCTCAGGACAGCCAGTCACTCGGGCCCCGGGACTTCAGCTTCTCCTTGCCCGGTGGACCTGCAGGGTGTGCGCGCATGTGTGTGTGTGCAGGGCGTGTGTGCACGCTCACTGGGTTAAATGAGAGCTGCATCTCACAGGCACTCTCTGCATTTACACCCAGGACTGCCCTCGATCAGTGACGGGGGTGGTTTTAGCCCCGGAGCACATGTGGCCAAGCCCACAGACGGTCTGTGTCTCGCAGTGGGGTGGGGTGGGGCGAGTGGTGGCTGCTACTGGCACCAGTGGGCTGAGGTCAGGGGGCCGCTGACCCTCCTCCAGTGTCACACCAGCCTCGGTCACAAGGGGTGACCCGCCCTGGTGTGAGCAGTTGGAGGTGGGGAGCTGTGCCCTGGAGGTGCAGTGGTCGTGGGGGCCACCTCTGTCCCACCCTCCGGGACAGCGTGGCCTCCTGGGGGGACAGGACTGTTCCGATTGGCTTGATGAGTGGCAGGTGCCGGGGGAGGCCAGGGCCTGCAGGAGCCCTCCACGGGGCAGGAGTGGGCCTGGTGGTTCATGGCCATGTCCCCTGCTTGTCACGTGGCAGGGCTCGTCCACAAAGCTGTTACTGGTGCTCCGCCCAGTGCTGGGCGCCTGGGTACCTGGCGCAGGAAGCCGCCTCCGAACTAATAACTGTTTCAAATTGGGCTTCCTGAACCCGGGCGGTCTCTGAGGACAGGTCTTGTCTCATGGGGGAGGGGGCACCTGGTAGGGAGGGGTAGCCCCAGGGGCCACTAGGGGTGCCAGGTCCTTTCCCTGGCTTTACCCAAAGCATGCCAGCTTCCTCCCACCTTGTCTGGTAAACCCGTTTTTCTCTATTGAACTTCATTATAAGATGCCCTTTAGACAGACAGCTTCGAGAATAAAAGTTCACAGAGTTCTCTGGCCAAGGCAACAGAGACAGAAGGGTTGGCCCTCACCTGGCCCAGGTCGGCGGGAGGGGGCAGCCCGCTGTCTTCCTGCGCATCGCCACTGGGGGGCGTGGAGGGGCCCAAGGGGTGCGCTCGGCAGCCCCAGTTCGAGCAGCCTTGCTCACGGCGGGCGCTGACCTAGACAGAGGTCCGGGCGCAGCCCTCCCTGCCAGGGCATTTGCTCTTATTAACTGCAGGCTGCCCCCAGGGACAAAGAGTACAGAAGCTTGCTCTGCTGTATTCAGTCTTCCTGCAGATTCCCGAGTCCCAGGGTGCTTACTGGGTGCTCGCTGGGGTAGACCGGGGTGTCTCCGCCTCAGCGCTGTTGAGGTTGGGACAGGTAGTCCTGCTCCGGGGACGGTGCTGCCCACTGTAAGGTGATGAGCTGATTATCTGCATCCTTGGTCTCTGCCCACTAGGCCCGTAGCGTATCACAGTCATGACCACGGAAAAGGTCCCCAGACCTGACTCCCGTCCCCGGGGTGGGTGGGGGCAGAATCGCCCCTCCTTCTCGTGAACACTGTGACGGTTCTCAGCGGCCTCGTCGCTGAGGCTCCTCGTAACCCCGGGCCCGAGCAGGGCTCCCTGAGGCCCGTCCAGCTCCCACATTCTCAGGTATTGAAGGGACACGGGGGGCCAGTTTTCAGCTTCCGCCTCAGTGGTCAGGGAAGCTGGGCTGTAGGAATGGAAAGAAGGTCTGGGCCAGAGAGGTCTCCCCAAAGACGTCTGGGGAGTCGTGAAGGCTGGGATCAAGCCCTCTCCTGTCCCGAAGGACGATGAGGACCCTAGTGGGCACTGGGAGTCTCAAGGGGTCCCAGCGCCTGGAAGTCAAGGAGCACTGACCGCATGGGGCCGAACTACGGTGTGGGCTTGAGCCCTTACACTGCAGACCTGGTTCCGTGCACATCACTCCTGTGGGCTGTGACCGTGTAAGACTGAGTTTAAGTGCAAACCTGGCTCGTAAGCTGCGTAACTGTTCATCTGTTCAGCAAGTGAGCTGTGGCCTGGCGTCGCACCTGGTGTGTCGCCGGGAGCTACAGGGGGGCCGGGTAGTGAGACAGGCAGTCCACGTGTCCCGGGAACCCGCAGGTGGGGCTGAGGAAGGCTTGCTCGAGTGCACCCAGGGGACAGAGGCAGGCTGCACTCTCGCCCTGGGTCCTGAAAGGAGAAGCCCTTTCACCCTCCGCAGGAAGGGAGGCATCGCCCGGGCTTCTGGAAGGCCCCCTGGGCGGTGTAGGCGAGGTGTCCCTCGGTCCAGGGCCACGAACATGCTGAATTAGCAAGGCCAGCTGACCTCGGCTTTTCATGCCTCCAGACTCCGAGCTGGCCGCTGCCCAGGAATGCTCGCAGATATAAAACTGACTTTGTTTTCAGAATGTTCTGGAGCCTAGGCTCCAAAGGCCGCATAAAAGCATTCTTGTGGGGCTGGTTATCTACCGGGGGAGATCTCACTGGGGCCCCAGACCAGAGCATCCCTGGGGATCTGCCCCCGGAATGCCATGTGTCAGCACCGGGGTGGGGCGGGGGGGAGGTGGCCCAGGCTCCGCTGCCACCTGCCCTCTGAGAGGTGCCTCTCCAAGAGGATTCTTGTGGGTTCCAGGAGCTGGGTCTTTGGCCTGGTTCACTGGGGCTGGGATTTCAGTGGCTTGAGCTCCTTCTCGTCACTAGATCTGGGGGCCTTGGGTAGTTCGGGGCCTGGGTTTCTGCCCTGGAGCGAAGCAATGTGGCGGCCTCGGCTAGGCTGGTTTTCAGCCGGTTTCCCGGTTCAGGATGGTGAAGGCCTGGGGCTGTGAGCCAGAGGTGGGGGACCTGGGCTCCCCCTGTCACTTCCTCCTCCTCCTCCCAGCCCTCTGGCCCTGCCTGCCTCTCATCCCGAGTCTTGGTGGGCACTGCGTGCTTCTGGCTTGACTTTCCGTCTGAAGGAATGAATGTTTGTCTCTCCCGCTCCCGGATCGAGCTCCCAGAAGTGCGCTTGTCAGTACACGTCACCGCCCAAGCCTTGCTCCCCGGGGAGTAGCTAATGGCAGCGTCCCACCGTCTGGAACTCTGTTCCCGCCAGCTCTGTGCTGTCCTCTCCCGATCCTCCTGCTCCTGCCTGTGTCGGCGCCAGCGGGGGCCTCCTGTGGCCCCCATCCTGCACTGCTGCTCTGGCTTCTTTGCTTTGAAAATCCTACTTACCGTCAAGCCCGGCAGGTCCCTCCCCTCCGGAACCTTGTGCCCCCAGCACGTAGCCAGGAGCCCTGCCCAGAGGTGGGCGTACGGTGTCCTGTGGCCACCCCTCTGTTACGGATGCGTGGAGGGGGAGAGAGGGTGGAGTCTGTGCCCTGCCTGCTCGTGGTGGGCCTCCTCTGACCTTCCGACCCCTTTCGGGTGTCAACGGGGGGGGGTGCCTGACTTTGGGGTCTGCCATGCGGGTCTCCTTCTAAAATGCGGCGAGAAATGCCCCCAGCGTGGGGGTGGGCCAGGACTGGGTGTGAGGACCTGGTTTTGAGTGGATCCATCGGTTTTGTCGGAAAGGTAGTTGCGTCCTCCCGTGAGCCTCAGCTTTGGGTGCCGCGGGCGAGGCTGGGCTGGCACCGCAGGTGGGAGGGGCCTCGTTGTCACCGGGAATGGGCGACACGGGAGGTGAGAGCTTCTGGGCAGGTGTTCTAGCCTCGGCTTCGCTTCCTTCGGGAAACACCTCTCAGCAAGACGTGCTGACCCCCCGGCCTTTGTCCCCTCACAGGCAGGTGACCGCAGGGACATGTCTCGGGAGCTGCAGGACGTGGACCTGGCGGAGGTGAAGCCTCTGGTGGAGAAAGGGGAGGTGAGTGGAGATGCACAATCACGCGTGTACACACGTGTGTGTGCACTGTAAACACACACACAGACACACACACGCCCACTACTTCCTTGTTTCCACAAGTGCCCTTGAGCGGGAAAGCAAAGGGACGAGATGTAGCTGTGCAAGTCCCAGCGTGGCCACTGAGTGCTGTGGCCGTGCGGGCCGGGCCCCTCGCCCACTCGGCGCGAGGGCTTTTCTGTCCCCAGCTCGCTGACCCCGTCTGCAGCGATCCCCTAAGCACCCCTCACCCCTAACACCCTGAGATTCCAGAACATGCAGCAGGAAGCCCACTGTCCGGAGGCCCTGGCTACCCCGTAGCTTAGAGGTGAAGGTCGTGCGCGTTCTCTGGGACCAGAGGGCCTGGGTTCAGATCCTGGCTGGGACACGCAGCAGCCTTGTGTCCAGCAGAGGCAAACCCTTCAACCTCTTCACGCCCCAGTTCCCTACCTTGAACACGGTGATGCTAGGACTTGTGTCACAGGCCAGAGTGAGGAGGGAGCGTGCGGTTGGTAGGGAGCCGTGGGCACCTGGTCTGGCGTGGAGGAGGCGAGCCACACCCGCAGGCTCTGGTTGCTGCAGTTTTTACCATCTCTTCGGTCAAACCTTCCACGTCAGCCAGGCCTCCCCGTCGGACAGGAGCCCCACCCCCCTGCCCCCACGGCCTGGGTGCACACGGCCCATCCTGGACTGGCCGTGCGATGGCTGAGCTGCCACAAGCCTTTACATTTCCTGTAACGGCGACATTGTATTTTTAAACGGTGTTCACATCCCAGTTCTTACGGAGCCGCAAAGCGGCCTGTGTGATGCAGCTTTTCAAAAATGCAAAGCTCAGGCTCAAACGTGAAGACACTCTAAGGTCAACCAAATGTTTTCAAAAACCATACTTGACACGCATGACCGCGTACGTGCTGCTTGGCTGTCTCTGGGCGGCCATAGTTCACGGGTTCTCCCACGCTACCTGGCAGGGTGACCCTGTGGTTGGTTACGTACCAGGTTCTGGGGTTGTTCCCATTTTACAGAAGAGGCCGTTGAGCCCCACGGAGGTTAGTTCGTCCTCGGTCACACAGTTACAAAGTGTGGGGCTTGGAGCCAAAGCCGGGCCAGCCGCCTCGGTGCCTGGGTGGTTCGTGCAATTCCTCTGTGACCCTGGGCGTGGCTGCCCTGTTTTAGGTCCGTGGTCATGGAGCTTCCCTTCTGTCTGTCACAGACACAGAAACTGACCTCTGACAGGAAGGGGGTCACCGGGACAGGCGGCACCCTGGGTTTAGAAGCCCGGGGAGGCTGCAGCATGCTCGTGATGATTTCGCATTCGGGGTCTGCAAATGTTTTCTGTAAAGGGCCAACGAGTAACTAACTGTCTGAGGCTGTGCGGGCCGTGCCGTGTGTGGCGACATCCAGCGTCACAATGACAGCATGAAAGCAGCTGGAAGGGAATGCGAGCGAGTGGGCTGTGTCCCAGTGAAACTTCGTCTACGAAAACGGGCGGCGGGCTGTAGCTGGCTGACCCATGCTGCTCGCTGCGCACCCCCCCGAGTCCAGAGAGCTCCGGTGAAGGATGGTCGCGGGGCTGGGAACGCAGAACTGTGGGATCGAGGGGGACGCTTAGAGGTCTCCGCTCTCCACGTCTGCCCGCGAGAGAGTGAATTTTAATCCGGACAGTGGGCATCCGGGGAAGGAATGTAAGGACAGCGCCGTGGTCAGGCTTGAGGTTTAAAAGGGCAGCACGTGCGTGCAGGTCGGGAGACCAGTGGGTAGGCCGTTGCGGTCTTGATCACGCAAGCTGGTGGTCAGCTTAGACCTTCAGATCCTTGTTCACCAAGGCTGTCGTCAAAGAGGCATCCAGTTCGTGTGTCTACTTTCCTGCCGGCCTGTTCTTAGACAGGAAAAGGAAAGTCTGTCTGTGCCTAGGGAGTAGACCCGGGCTCAGGGCTGGGAGAAACCTGTGCGTTGCTTCCCTTCTTTCTCGGCCGAGCAAACGCGACGACCCTGACCAGCCCTCTTGTCTCTCCACAGACCATCACCGGCCTCCTGCAGGAGTTCGACGTTCAGGCGAGTACAGCCCGTGGACTCCCTTGCCCCTCCCCCACTCCCTGCTCTCTCTTCCCCCCTTCCTGCCACTGGTTTGAAGGAGACCCCTGTTCAGACGTTGGGGGCGAGTGGAGAGAAGGAAGCTACTTTCCCACGCTTGGCTCCTTCTCCCCGGGTGGAAGGTGGTGGAAGTTCTGGCCAAGGAAGCCTGTCACTCCTGTAGAAGCAGGAGGGAGACCCAGCCCCCTTTCGACACTGTGGAGCTGCGGGGTGTGTGGGGGAGGGGAACGGAGAGCCCTGGGGTAGGCTGGGCCCCGGATGGGAGGGAGGAGAAGCAAAGGCTTGATGTTCTTGGCTGTGCTGGGGAAAGCGGACCGGCCTGCTCCGTGGCGTGCTGGCTCCGTCCCTGCTCCGGGCTGGTCCCAGGGCATTGGGGGTGGGGGTTGGGGGAGGTGGGTCTTGAGTTTTGTCCAAGAACAAACGTTAAGAAGAGTGGGCTGGCCTCTCTCCGCCGGGGGGTGGGTCAGAACCTCGGGAACTGTAAACCCAGACCCTGAGTGTTCCCGAAGTCTGTGTGAGCCCCGCAGGTGGTTTCAGGCCCTGGGGTGGGACCGGGAACCGTAGCGCCGTGGGGTCGTGCGGGCTGCCCAGACAAGAGGAGAGGAGCAAGTGCAGGGGGATGCAGGCCGATGCGCTCACCTGAGCCTCTGTCTGCACGTCGCCCAGGTATCCCGCTTCCAGCCCATCCCAGCTCTTCGTCTCCGTCATCTGTTCTCCCCCTCCCCCACCCCAGGCAACTCTGCTCTTCCCCTGGACCTTGTGTTTCAGTGACGGCCCGGGCCCGCCACCCACGTCCAGAGGCTGGGAGTCTTGGCGCTGTCCTTGGAGGGGGTGGGGGGCAAAGTGGGGGAGCGGCTGGAAACGTGGGCTGTTATGAGGAATGGGTACACGAGTGTCTCCCCAAGATCAGTGTTCAGGCACGTGGAGGTTCGCCCTTTCTTGGCTCTTTGACGCAGAGCGAGTTGCTTCGGCTCCCCTCGGCCTCAGTTTCCTCATCTGGGAAGTGGGGAGAGGAGAGCCACTCCAGTCTTGCGTCAGCGGCAGAGGAGGGAGGACAAGGACGGGGGCCCTGATGTGGTGTCGCCCTCATCAGTGTTGGGTCCGTGCTCTGTCTACTGACTCTGTTGTGAGTCCCCACCCCCTTTTTTCTCTTTTTTTGGCATGTCTGTGTGTGGTCAAGTCCACAGACGCTAAAAGGTACCATGGGAACCCCCCGTAAGTGTGCCCTTCGGGGCAGTCGGTGCGTCCGCACTGCTGGGCAGCCGTCCCCGGCGTCCACCCCAGAGCCACTCTCATCCTGTGGACCGGCTCCGGTCCCCGCGAGACGCGGAGTCCTGGGTCGTTTCCCCGTGGCCCCGCAACCCCCGTCCTCCTCCCTGTCTCCATGACTGTACCCACTTTAAGTATCTCCTGGTGGCGGAATCGGACGACGTTGGTCTGTCTGCGGTTGGCTGACTTCCCTCACGGGATGTCTTCGGGTTCACCCGTACTGCGGCCTGGATCGGAACTTCCTCTTCTCTGAGGCCGGGCACCCTCCCATCGTGCGTGGAGACCACGGGCTGTTTGTCCGTTCCCCTGTCAGCGGGCACTGGGGTTGCTTCCAGCTTTCGGCTGTCGAGAACAGTGGGTGTCCCAGTGTCTGTCTGAGGCCTTGCTTCGAATCCTTTCGGGTGTGTACCCAGGAGTGGAATTGGTGGATCACGTGGCTACCGCAGACCTTTGAAATCTCGATTGTTGATCTGGAAGCAGGAAAACGTCGTCTGTGTGAAGCTCACCCCTCACTCGTGTGTTGTTTTCCATTGCACAGCCTGGTTCCGAGTTCCTGCCCCAGGCACGCGCGGGCAGTTGGTAGAGCAGAGACCTGGAGTCCTGGCCCCGACTCCCGGGACAGGCCCCCTCGAAGGCTGCTCAGGCCGGGGCGGGCCGGGGTGCTGCGCCCTCGGGACATCAGCCGAGGGGGGGCCTGAAGACCCTGGGAGGAAGCCTCGGGGAGGACCTGGGGCAGGCGGGGGGGCCAGCCTGGGCTGAGCCCTCTCAGGCACGCACAGCTGTCCCGGGAAGCTGGGGGCGCTTTTTCCATTGTGGCTCCTTTGCCTTTAATAATGTCAGCCTGGCGTTGTCGTAGGTGCTGGGGACACAGTGGTGAGCATGACAGGCAGTGGCCCCTGTCATCAGGAACTTAATTCTAGACTAAGAGCTGAGCATTAGGGAGCATGGGACATGCCCCAAGCGTCATTCTGACTGTGTCACACGTTTTGCTCACCTAATGCTTGAAACAAATCTTATACCCATTTGACAGATGGAGAACCTGAGGCACTGAGAGGTCACGTAACTTGGCTGAGGTCACAGGGTTGGAAAGGGGTAGGGCTGGGGTGCAAACGCAAGCATTGCGTTTGACTGAAACCGCTCCTCTGACTCCCCAGCAGGGGAGGACACAAACATAAGCAAAATTAAGCAAACGTGACAATCCCAGCTACTGTAGGGACTGGGAAGATGACAGCGCCGGCTGACGTGATGGGGCGTGGCCTTAGGGTGAGGGGTCAGGAAAGGCTTCTGGAGGAGGTGACGTTGTACTGAGACCTGAAGGCTAGATGGGGCCAGGCATGCGGCCCGAGAAGATTCGGGGCTGATCTGTCCAGGCAGAGGCGGCAGTGCATGCGCAGGGCTCTGGCCGGCCCCGGTGCCGAGCCGGCCGGGGTGGAGCGAGTTCTCCCTGTTCACCCGCCAGCCTTCCCGGTGAATCCCAGCGTCTGAGCTGGGTCTGGCTGCTGAGCGACGCTTTGTCGAGGCCGGTTCCAGACTCTTCGTGTAGAACCGTTACTCTGGCTTTGGCTCCTGCAGCTCGCTGACTCATGATATTTGTGGAAGTTCCCCCAAATTTCCAGCAGCCTCCAGCGCCGTGGCTGTGGGGCGCCACAGGGTGTCCTTGGGAAGATGCTGCGTAGCCTGACAACTGATGTCCTCTGTGCCCTGAGGGGTCACGGCTCCCAGGACCGGGCACAGAGAATGACAGAGCCCTGATGAAGGGTGGCAGCCAGGTCTACCAGCCCAGGGACAGGACAGTCTCCTGCATGCTGTGGGTGTCAGCGTCCTCTGATGAGCCAGGCCGGGGCCCGGGCGTTCCCCTGCTCCCTTGCTGAATCTTTTGGGACTGCACCACCCTCCCTACTTTACAGAAGAGGAAACCGAGGCTCTCCCCTGACCAGCAGCTGGGAAGGGGCCTCATGGCACCCAGCTCTGTCTGGCCCCGCCCCGCCCCCTCCACCACGATGCGTCACTGCAGTGCTAAACCTGGAGCAGCCACGCTGGGCCTTGTGGCCTAGATTTCAGCTCACTTTTGCCCTTTGTGTCCAACACAAAAAGTAATTTGCACAGAACTTGGATGTGCTGTGTAACCCGCTGAGCATGAGCTGGCCCCGTCTGGCCAGTGCCTCGGGACTCCAGCGCAAGGAACCCAAGCCGCCTCCCCGCCTGTGTCTGTGAGCAGCAGTGTCACTGCTTGCAGAGCATTTGGTGCTCCAGCGTTAGGGCCAACTCAGGCAGACACACTCTTCCTTTTCCAGAGTAGTCAAGGGTGTGTGTGTGTGTGTGTGTGTGTGTGTGTAAAAACTAGAATCAGAACACACCACGTCGTAGCCCCGAGTGCCACAGCGGTGAGGAGATGGGGGAGGCGTCTGCTGTGCAGCTGCCGGGTGGCCCATCTCAGAAGGCAGCTCAGCCGACAGAGCAGATGGCCTCGTGGCCTTATCTCTCTGTGGCTGACATCACCTTAGGGTGCGCCGTTTGTCTTGGCCTGGGTGATGTGTAAGGCAAATCGACCGGTGCCCAGACATGTGAGGTTCTGCCGGCTGCCGCAGCACTGTGCTTCGGGGCCCTCAGAGCACAGGGCTGGGCGGGCTGCTGGCCGGAGATGCTGTGGCCACAGGAAGGGCGCTGCATGAGCGGGCTTTGCAGGGAAGGGCTGGCACCGGGCTCTCAGCGGTTGTGTTTGCAGATCTGACGGGCGGCGTAGGGGGGAGTAGTTTGGGTTCCAGCTCCTTTCTTGGGCTAGAATTCCAGTCAAACCCAAGAATGTCCAAGCTGGCAGGTGCTTTGCGATCCAGCCCCACCCCTTCTGCTCCAGGTGGGGAGGCTCGGTTGGAGGCCGCAGAGGGGAGGGGACAGGAGCGGAGGGTTGGGGAGGGGAGGGGAGGGGAGGGGAGGGGAGGAATATTTGCCTGCTCTCTTACTGGCTCAGGCCTTTCTTGCCAAGGTGGGGAGGCGCCACCTCCTTGGCACAGGCAGACCGGTTTGGAGATGTGAAGGAACTCGCCAAGGGGCACCGTGGAGCTGGCCCCATGTTTGGGCCCGTCCGCCTCTTGAACGTGAAGTGAGCGTGGGGGCCGTCATGGCCGAAGTCTCCGAGCGCTGACCGCGCACCGGGAACCGGGCTGACCTCTCCCGGCAGCATCTCACGTCATCCTCACAGCCGCCCGGCGAGGGAGGAATTACGGCTGTCTTCTTTTCTGGTTGAAGCGCGAGGCCCAGAGAGGGTTTAAGGGATTTGCTCAGTGTCACCCCACGATGAGATAGATGATGAGCTCTGACTCCGTCTCTGCGTCTGGAGCCAAAGTCCGTGTAACTAAGGGGGACGGGGTAGGGGGGGCGGGCAGATCCCAGCCCACTGTCCGTCATGCTTCCCGAGGCCCCAGATCGCCTGCCCTGTCGGATTTGCTGTTCCTAATTCCTTCCACCTGGATCTTTTTTCATTCCGAGGGTTTGATTTGATTTGGTTTCCATGGAATCTGTGTTTGTGTGCTCAGCGGGGCTCTGCTGGCAGTGAGCTGATGTTCCCACAGGGCCGCGGGGTGCTGGGGCAGGAGGGCGGTGGGAGGGTCCCCTGAAGTCTGGCTCCAGCTCTGGAGGTCGGGGTCTGGTGGGACTGGGCCGGGGGACATCTGATCCTTGTTGGGGGGGCCGGGGGAGGTGCTGATTTCTGTCCCTGTGCTCTCGGAAGCAGCCCTGCTCCCAGGGAAAAATGGAAACGGTGACCTTTTCCTAATTTCATTCTTTCCACACAGTTGCTTCTTGGTTTCGTGCCCCCTGACTGAAGGTGGGCGGGACTCAGGCTTGGAAATCCTCCGCCCACCCTTTCCCATCCTTGCCCTCCTCACCCCGCCCCGGCCCCCACCCTCCGGGACAGCCACTGGGACTGAGAGCTGACCCTGCGGCAGATGGCGGCAGCGCTCATCGGGGTCCGAGCAAGATGAGGCTTTCCCTCTCCCGCCCTCCTGGTGGAGCGGGGGGGAGGCGCGCCGCCCCCACCCGGCATCCCCATGGCGGGGGTCCTCCCAGGCCCGTCCAGTCCAGGCCACCAGGCTGACCGAGAGTGGACACCCTTCTCCTGGGGAACAGGTGCAGGGGATGGAAGCAGGTTGGGGGCAGTGCGTGTGCCCCTTGGCCAGTCGCCGGACTTCCCCAGGGACTTAGTTCTCTAACCTGCAACCCTGGGGGAGCGTCACTGAAGTAAACAGCCTGGGCCTGGGCAGGCGGGCCTCCTCTGCTCCCTGCTCCCCGCCCTCTGCTCGGCGGTTGTCCACCCCTCTGCTTGTTCGTCCCCTAAGCCAGGAAAGGCGCTGCTGCTGCTCCGAGCTCTTTCTTCCCTGAAGGATCCCGCTCATCCACGTGGGTCCCGCTTCTCGCCCCGTTCCCAGGCGGACGCCCCTCCGCCCGCAGCAGCTCACTGCCCGACTCTAACTTCTCTTTCTCCGCGTGAAGAGATCCGAGAAAGGGAGGCAGTAGCCCCAGGGCCCTGCTGCAGCCCTGGGGCTCAGGGCTCGGAGGCCCCGGGACCTTGCCGGACCCTCACGCTACCTGCAGGTGTGTGCCTGTGGCCGCCAGCTTTCGGCCCCCGCGGCTGGCTTTTCCCTTCTGGGAAATGGCTCTCCAGGCTTCAGAGTGTTTGCCCAGGGAGGGGCGGCTGTCCTCCCTGCAAACGCTTTTGTGTTCCTGCCACAGGCACACCCCTCCTGGTCATGCTTTATCCTTATGTGCTCCTTACCCACATGGAAAGGATGAGACGGATGGCACCACCGGGCCTGCCCCTCCCCCACTGCGGGCACGGGAGCGGAGCCAGGAAGACGGGGGAGGGGCGCGTTAATTCGCACAAACATGGTGGTCTGGAGCCTCTGTTCTCATGGTGTGCCTCTCTTTCCTCAAGAAGCCTTGACTTAATTAATGCTCTGTCTGATTAGCCAAAACCAGCTTCCTTTGCCTTGTCCCATCGGGTGCCCCCTGCCCTCGGGCCATGCCTGGACCTGGGCTTGCTGGACTGTGGGAGGGCAGCCCAGCACGCCGGCTGACTCGGGGCCTGTGGAAGCGTGTCATCCATCCTCTTAGAGTCCAAAGCCCTCAGTGTCTCCCTAGGGCCTCGCTGAGCAAGGGTCCCGGAGGGAGGCGACGGCAAGGGGCCTCCGAGTTCCCCTGGGTCATTCCACCCAGCCGTCGGGGCTGGCCCTGGGGCTTCAGACTAATCGTCCCTGGGACAGGTGTCCATGACAATGGCCATGGAGGGGAAGCTACAATTTACAAAACATTTCCCCCATCATCTCTACTTCAGTTTTAGTCTTGGCAGCGTGGCCACGGGTGCACGGTGGACGTGTCATCTTCCGTTGTAGTTCGTACAGGCCCAAGAGGTGTTGGGTGCTGTCTTCACCACCTGGCAGGTGGCAAGCGGTGTAGACAGTGGGGACCGGTGCCATTCCAGCACTTTCTGGCTTGCACGTGGTGTAGACCGCAGACCGCTAGGTGCCCCCTGTGGGCTGGAACCTGACGGAGGCAGAGCTGGCCTTTCCCTCTGGGAACTGGCCGTCAGCTGCGGGAGGCAGCCGCGCAACAGGTGTTTGTTCTCATGAAGATGCGGCAGGCAGAGACCGAGGGGCCGGATGCACGTCTGGGGAGGAGCGGCGGTTGGTTCTCTGTTCCGTGTGCTGGTTCGCAGAGGTGCCGGGAGATAAAAGCCGTCTACAGTCCCGTCGACGGGGGACCTGGCTCACTGCATCCCTCTTTCGAGAGTCACAGTGCATGCCACACATTAAAGGTTTCCTTCCCTCACGCGGCTCCTGGCGCAGAGTAGAAACCAGATGTCAGCGGGCACAGGCTTTGGACTCGGACGGTCCCGGGTTCAGATCCTGCTGCACCATCGCAGCCGTGTGACCTGGGGAGGGCTCCTTCCCCTCTCTCGACCTCGGTCTCCCGCGGACGGCCATTACCCAGCAGGTCCGAGAACCAGCTGTGAGCAGGCAGCTGGGCCAGGGCCTGAGGATGTAACAGTAAACAGCGGAGGCAGCCCCTGCCTTCTTGGACAGGTTTAGCTTTGGCTCCACAGCTGTGTAATTTTAAGTCAACATCTGTCACTCATCCCCACCCCAGGGGGACTGCTGGGGACATCCTAGATGCCAGCCAGAGCTGGGTGTCCCATACCTGCCACCAAGGGCCACCGTGTACTGAGCATCCCCTTTCCACCAGACCCCAAGCCTGTCTCCTCTGCTCAGGAACCTGGGGCCCAGGTGGCTCGCTCTTCATCTTACAGGTGCAGACCTGGGGGCTGGGAAGGGCTGCGGAAGGGTGGAGCTTAGATTCGAACCCTGATGTCCCAGGCTGGTGGGGACACTGCCTGGCCTGGCCTATTTTTAGAGGGTGCCATGTGGGTCAGCCGGGGAGACAATAGAGAATGTGGTCGCCATAATGCACCATTGTTCCTGCAGCGGCTGCAGGGCCAGGCTGGGCCCAGCAGATGATCCGTGGCCCCCACTGGGGGCTGGGTCATGGCTCCCAGGTCTGGATTTCTCCAGTGCTGGTGCAGGCAGGAGGGGGGGCAGAGTCAGGGAGATGGGCGGCTCCGTGTTCAGAGGACTTCCTTTCCTCTCTCCTTCCTTCCTTCCTTCCTTCGGTCCCTCCCTCCTTTCTTTCTGAGACTTGTCCCTCAGAATGACAACCATGGATTTCAAAGAATGGGAGACCGACCTGGTCCAATGCCACAGCCCCCTCATGGGCTAATTCCTCTTTCCCTCCATGGGCTTCTGTTGCCCTGCCCTGCCTGACTCTGGGATGGGGTTCACCAGGCAGAGCATCGCTGCCCACGCCCAGGGCGCTCCTGGCCAGATGGGGCACTGGGCGCTCCCTCAGCACCCAGCCGGCAGCACCCTGGTGTCTGCCGTCCGCGCTGAAGCCACGCCGAGGCTGCGCGGCCCACCTGACAGCCCCCTCTGTCCGCTCTCTCCCCTCAGGAGCAGGACATCGAGACTGTGCATGGCTCCATTCACGTCACCCTGTGCGGGACCCCCAAGGGGAGCCGGCCTGTCATCCTCACGTACCACGACATCGGCATGAACCGTAAGTTCCGAGGACCCACGGTTTTCTAGTGTGCCTGTTCCCGCCGAGGAGGGGGGGAGAGGGGCGTTAGGGAGGGCTGGCGGCGGGGGCTTTCTGGAGCGGCCCTGGGAGGAACTCCTGCCGCACGTTAGAAGAGTCTGGAACACACTGCAGGGGGGCTGCGGACCTGTCTGGGTGCCTGGAGCTGCTGGGAACTCGGGGAGCCCTCACCGTCCGCCTGTGTGACAATGACTTCTTTCAACGAACGAATACAATGGTGTTTAGTACTTTCCGAGTTGTGCAACCGCCATCACAATCAACTTGAGCGTGTTACCATGCTGGAAAAAAACCCCTCTTGTCTATCACCCCCCTTTCCCTTTCCTCCCAGCCCCTGGCAGCCACGGGGCCACTTTAAGGATCTGCCTGTCCTGGACGTTTTATAGAAACGGGATCACACAGTAGGTCGTCTTTCTGCTGCGACTGGTCTTCCGTGACGTTTTCCATTGTCATGCACACCGTAGCATCCATCAGTCCTTCCTTCTCTTCCGCCCAACGATCTCCCCCTGCATGGATCTACCATGTTTTGCCCTCCCGCCCTCTGACTGACGGGCGGTTGGACTACTTCCCCATCTCTCCTCTTCCGAGCGCGGCTGCTGGGAACGTGGAGACTGTGAATTCTCCGGATCCCCAGAAAGTGTGACCATATGTGCGTCCCCCGTTCTTCACAGATGGGAATGGCACGAGAGCCCCTTTGTGCTACAATCAGGCCGAATGGGAGTGAGTCTCCCCGGGATGCTTCGGAGGCACGGGGAGGCCCCTCCGGCCCAGTAATCTCTGTGCACTGGAGCTCAGCCAGCGGGGTGCTCGCTTGGCTCTTGATTGACAGGCTGCCTGGTTTGCATTTTTGTTCTTTCCGTGTATGAGCACCCTTTGAGGCTGGAGAGGATGCCAGTCACTGAAAACTGTTTCTTTTCTTCACTCTCACGCCTCTTTTATCTTACTTCCTCCCCTGTGCACCGCCCCCCCGCCCCGCCCGTGTCTGTTATATATCAGATGCCTGGGCAGCACTGTGACAGCGACCAGCTTCTTTCACTGACTCTGATGAGGAAATGGAATCGCAGGTGGTGGCGATGCTAACTGCCATTAACAAAGACCCAAAACCTCTGTGGCTTAACACGATATGTGTTCTTTCTCACTCATTTAACAACTCGGGGGGCGTTCTATGTGGCTCCTTCCACGTGGTGGGTCAGGGCCCCAGGGTCCTAACGGCCATGGCTCTGCCATCCCCTGGAGCCTCAGAGGGCTCTGCACCTGGCAGGTAGCTGACAGAAGAGAGAGAGAGAGAGAGAGAGACCTGGAGGACTGAGTAGCAGGTGTTACAAGGCAGAGGCAAGACTCCCACGCTATTGGCCAGAACCTGAGCACGTGACTGCCTCTAATTACAGGGGAGGCTGGGAAATGTAGTCCAGCTGTGTGCCCGGGATGCAAAGAGAATTGGTTTGGTAACCAGCTGGCCGTCTTTGCTTCGGGCTGTCAACAATTAGGAGACTCACCCACAGCCACGTAACAAGTGGGAGGTCCGCGCTTTGTCTCCTGTGCTTCTCCCCGTTTGAAAATCTCCCGTGCCCTGGCCAGCGTCCCCGACAGAGGGTTTGGGAGACCCAGGGAGACAGTGTCAGTGGAGTAGCCGCACTGGAAGTTTAAGGTCCTCCACCAGCGGGTACAGCAGAGTTTACGGACCGGCCCCACCGCCACACCCCTCTCCTTTCCCAAGGCTCACTCTTGCCTTTCATCACCAGAGGAAAGCGGGACAGGGGAGCAACAGGTCGGCATTCTTTCTTACGAGTTTCGTTTCCTTCTGCCCAACGGAAGGGCAGCAAACAAAATGTATGCGCTTTGTACGGAGCCAGCTGGTTCATTCCGGCCTTACTTCTCCCCTCTCCTCTCTCCCCGGCCCGATCTCCAGACAAAACCTGCTACAATCCCCTCTTCAACTCTGAGGACATGCAGGAGATCACCCAGCACTTTGCCGTCTGCCACGTGGACGCCCCTGGCCAGCAGGACGGCGCTGCCTCCTTCCCCATGGGGTGAGAGGGGGAGGGGTGAGAGGGGGGGCTCCTGCCCCAGGAGGGGGGAAGGGAAGCCTTGGAGGGCGGAAGCAGGTAGTGGGGGGAGGCGTTAGCCTGGCTTTTAATTTTTATTATCGCAGTAAAATAGCCTCTTCCGTAAAGCCACTTCCTCAGCCTTGGTGATACTTATAATCTTTATATATGGAGGGAGAGCATAGCAACCTCACTGGGTCGTTGCAAGGATTAAATGAGCTTACAGTGCTCATCAGATGCCCAGGGCGGGACCTGGCACCCAGGAAGCAATCGGTAAAGGGCTGTTTCACAAAGAGATTGGCGGAGGATTAGGGGTGGAGCCGTCCTTGCTTACACAGCGCAGGCTGTGCTCACCGGGGCGCTGGCAGTGAGCACTATCAGGGCACGTGATGGGGAGTCTGGGTGCCCGGGGCAGGTTGCCGCGTGGTCCCTCCCCTTTGAGCCCGTTCCTGTGGCGTGGTCCCTTTCCCCCGGGGTCCCGGCCCTCGCTAACACCTGTGTGTGTGTGTGTGTGGCTTCTCCCAAGGTACATGTACCCCTCCATGGACCAGCTGGCTGAGATGCTGCCCGGAGTGCTGCACCAGTTCGGGTGAGAGCGAGGGGCCGCCCCCCCCACCAGCCTGCAGGGAGGGGTGGCTTCTATATAGCGTCTGCCCCTCCTTTGGCCTCCATCTGACCTGACCGCTGAGATTGGGGTGGGAGCGTGGAGCTCAGGGAAGAGATTCACTCGGCTCACTCGCACTCACCATGTTCACATTCTCTTCCTGCAGCCTGCTCCTTGCAAGGTGGGCTGTGCTCTCTGAGTGATAACATCACCCAATGACAGCACCCCCCACCCCACCCCCGATCCTTCCCGGCCTTCTCTTTTCTCCCCGCTTTGTCTTTCCGACGGAGCGTGCTGGACTCGCATGGCCTGACCCCTCCACTCTTCTCTCTCCAGGCCCTCCTTCTTCCAAGGCTCCTTTTCTTCTGATTCGAGCCTTCGGTGTGAGGACGACACCTTAGACTTCTTGCCCAGTCCCTTTTCCTGCCAAGCGTTAGAATCCCAAAAAATAGCTCAGGAGCAGGAAGGAGCGCTAATGGGCTTTCCCGTCAATGTCAGACGGTCCCTGAGTGCCCGCCCGGGCTCAGTCAGAGGGGAAGTGAGGGAAGGGGACGCGTCCCTCCAAGGTCATGGCCTTCTGTGAGTCCATGAAGCAGGATGCGTTTCAGGTCACGAGGGGACAGGACGGCAGTGTGTCCCCCCACTCTGCCCCGCCTGCCAGCCACCCTCAGTGGGGACCGGGACAGACACCGGGGTGGGCGAGGTTCCCCGGGGACCAGGAGTGGGGACGAGGGTTGGAGGGTGGTCAGGGCTCGCGGTGCCCACCTCTTCCGTGACGTGCGTGTTTCTTTCTGCTCTCAGGCTGAAGAGCGTCATCGGCATGGGGACTGGGGCCGGTGCCTACGTCCTCACTCGATTTGCGGTGAGTTCTTGGGCATTTTCTAAAAATTACATTTTATTTATTTCTAATTTGATTTCTTTATTTTTAGACAGAGGGGGAAGGAGGGAGAAAGAGAGGGAGAGAAACATCAATGTGTGGTTGCCTCTTGCATGTCCCCTAGTTGGGGACCTCGCCTACAACCCAGGCATGTGCCGTGACTGGGAATCAAACCAGCGACCCTTTGGTTCGCAGGCCTAGTGCTCAGTCCACTGAACCACACCAGCCAGGGCTAAAAATTACATTTTAAGTGAAATTAATTCAAGACAGAGGAAGGAAATTGGGAAGGCATCAAAAATCCCAAAAGGGAAAAGGAAATGACCCATCCTTCCATTTCCCAGGGGAGGACCACAGTTCACATTGTGATGTGTGTTCCGGAGTTGTGTGTGTGTGTTGTGTATCGCTTACACACAGACCACTTTCCTTTTCCCTTCACTGAAGCAGCCCGCCAGACACACTCTGTACGATCCGCTTGGCACCCGGAGCAGTCAACTCGGGGCAGGCCCTCATGTCCCTGAGTGTCCTGCTGTGCCACTTCTTTGTGACAGCTTTCATACTCAGGGGACTCTTGGGTCCTGGCTAATTCTAAACTAGAATCAGAGCTACCTGTGTTAACATGACAGTTGCCACTTATGTGACTGCGGGCCCAAGACAGGGCTGCTGGGCCCCTGTAGCCGGTAGCAATTGTTTAAAAATGCAACGGTGCTCATTTTATGCAACCAGATGTGTTCTGACCGCCTATCATTCACTGGACTTGGCTAGAGGTTAGGAATGCTGACATAGGTACAACGTGGTCTGACTGTCTGGGTCTAAACTGTATCTCATATATACCCATATATGTGTATGAAATACATACATTCTTGTGCAAGTAACAGAATTCTTACTGATTGCTAAAGAGCCTTTCTGAGCCTGTCTGATCATGAGGTTGATCGTATGATATACCCATTTCACAGCTAGGACAGCTGAGGTACGCCAAGGTGTCGTGACTTGTCCAAGTAGGTCCGCCGAGCACGTGTGCATCTGTGTCTCGTGTGGCTTCCTCTGCCTACTCCCTCAGGGACCCGATGCAGTGTTCCCTGAGCTGAGACCTCAGTTCTGCATAGGGCAGGGGCTGGAGACCCTCGAGAGCACAGGCCGCCCTGGTGTCCCACACGAGCGCTTTCTTGGTCCTCCTCTCCACCTTCGGTTTGACTTAAAGTTCCTGGTATCTCAGGTTGCCAGCTTGTGTCCCTCACCTCGTGTCTTGAATTGCAGCTGAACAACCCTGAGATGGTGGAGGGCCTGGTCCTCATCAACGTGAACCCTTGTGCGGAGGGCTGGATGGACTGGGCGGCGTCCAAGGTGAGTCTGGGGGCCTGGGCTGGCGGGATCCCAAAACGCAGGGGTGCCCTCGCCTCTGCCGGAGGAGCGGCAGAACCGAGAGACCCCTCCTGCTCGCACCCTTTCGCCAGCCCCGACTCCCCTCGCTCGGACCCGAAAGCAGGTTTCCTCTGCTTGGCTTGGAGTAGTCCACTGGCCTCAGATAGTGGCCACTTGGATACCCACAGGACACTGCTGGGTAAGCCAGCAAGGCCAGGGGCCCCAGGCCAGCTTTGACAAGCCCTGTGGGCAGAAGTACTGGCTGGGGACTGAGTGTCTGCTGGGCTTTTCTCGGGATGCTGAGAATAAAAAGATGAACAGGACAGGTGCCTCCGATCCCAGGAACCCACGTGTCATCGATGCAAAAGAAGTGTGTAGTTGGTACTTAGTTTTACGACAGTAGTCATCAGCTAGCGTGGATGGAACGGTTACCAGTGGTTATTGGTGCTCTCCGTGGCTGTGGGTGTGCGTGACCTTATCTACCCCTCGTGGGACCGCTGGGAGTGGGGGCTGTCACACCATGCGCAGAGGGGGAGGCAGTGAAGGAGGTGGCTGAGGAAGCTGTCCGGGGCCGCACACATGAGGCGGATGGAGAGTTGGGCCGGGACGCAGAGCCCTTGGACCTGTGGCCCTCGGCCCCCGCTCCGTGCTGTGCTCGAGGGCCCTCGTGATGCCCGTGTCAGAGGCCCCCCGACCCGGGCACTTCGGGCTGGGCACAGAAGGGGCGGGACATGCCCCTTCCTGGAACACGGGACCCACATTACCTCGGGAAGCTCTACTCCAGCTGGTGGTCTAGGGTTCCTTGTTTGCTAAAAATGATCATTTGTTGTTGTTGTTGTTGTTGTTTTCGTTGTTTTCATAAAAGCCCCAGTATTGGCCAAAGAGACGGGGAAACCATTTCAGTTGAAACAGGACAGAGCCTTCCAAGCTGGGGCCATCCTGGAGTGTGTTTGTGCCAAGGCTAGGGTGGTGGCTGTCGGAGCAGGAGGGTCAGAGGGGTCACACCCCGCCTCCCTCCCCCTCCTCCCGCCCCTGTCCTGGCCAGCCAGTCTGATGTTGCCTTTCTTCCTGGAACATTCTTCCAGAAGGCGGGAGCCCTTCCCTCCGGCCTGCGTGACATTCGGGAGCGGAACACACTCCCTGTTTTTTATTTTATTTTCCAGCAAAGGAAGTGACATTCCAGGCAGCCAGTTTGGCTCCCGGAGAGCTGTTCTGGGCCAGACGTGCAGAGCCGGGGGCATCAGCCGAGCCGCGGGCTGCAGTGCAGCCTGAGGGGCGGTGTGGGTTTTCATAGCGGCACCGCATCCTTCCTCTCTGACCCCCGCCCTGGGGGGGGAAAGACCTACATCAGGGTCTGCTGTGGGTCAGGCACCGGGGCCAGAGCCTGTGACGTGTGTAGTTGCTCCCATAATCCCCATCGTGACCTGTGACTTGGAGGTTCCTGGCACCCTTAGCTGCGGATGAGCAGTGTGAGCTCCAGCGGCTTTGCAGCCTTCCCTGGGCGCCCAGCGGGGGGCCCCCAGGCCCTGCCTGCCGCCGCAGGGGGTCAGCACACGTCTATGGAGCTCCTGCTGTGTGTCTAGCATTTATGGAGCTCCTGCTGTGTGTCTAGCATTTATGGAGCTCCTGCTGTGTACCTAACCTAGCATTGTTGTTAGAGGTAAAAAGAAGAAAACCATTTGTTTCTTTAATAAGCTCAGTTTATTTGGAGAGAGGAAAGTGGCTTGAGGAGATGATCTGTAGGGTCACCCAGGGAGAGCAGGCCCTGAGGTCTGGCCTCGGGCAGCTCTGCGTGTGTTTAGGGGAAACGGATGGTCGTCTTTGCTGACGAGCTGGTGCGCTGTGCAGCAGGGAAAGCCAGGAGCGAGCGGGCCCGCTGAGCACATGTGTGCGTCCTCTGTGCCCGAGGCTCTGGGGAGAAGCAACAGACGGAGACCCAGGCCCTGCCTGCCAGGGCCTCAGTCTCGTAGGTCCCCAGAGACCGGTATCCGAGCCCCCCTCGATGGGGCGCCCCCCTCGACGGGGCGTCCTCAGACCCGAGTGCTGGCCGCCCCGAGGGCCGAGGGGGTTGGCTGACCTCGTCTCCCCACGGCGAATGCCCTCTCCCTAACCCCACACCGTTTCTGTCCCCGCAGATCTCCGGGTGGACCCAAGCCCTCCCCGACATGGTGGTGTCCCACCTCTTTGGGAAGGTGAGTAGCGCGGCCTGGCGTCCGGGTGTCCCCTCTGAGTGAGCGTGTGCTGCCGGCACGTGGGGCAGAGACGCGCCAGGCGTGGCGCCAGTGCCACCAAATAACAGGGCGTTATTCATACTCACCCAGCCGTCTGTTCTGTCTGTTTTTAACGTAAGTCTTTTTATTAAGCAAAAGTGTAAAATCTGACAAATGCTGACCGGTTCTGAAATACCCCTCGGCTGCCCAGTGCGGGGCGACTTGCTCCGTTTCCTCGGGTGGCCCCTCGTCACCGCCCGCCCCCCAGCTAAGGGTGTGGCCGTGTCAGGTGTGGCTGTGCACAAGCCCAGGGGGCAGGCGGAGGCTCTGCTGTGGGGCGGGGGCACTGTGGCCCCTGCGTTCGGTCCTGGGGTCAGTTTCCTGGGGCTGCAGCAGCAAAGGACCACACACCGGGTGCCAGAAGATCATGAGAATGAATCCTCTTTCAGTCCCGGAGGCCGGGACCTTGGACCCGAGTGCTGGCCAGGCCACAGCCCCTGCATGGGCTCCGGGGAGGGTCCTCCTGGCTTCTCCCGGCACCCAGGCCTTCCCGGGCTCTGGCCGCCCACTCCAGTCCCCGCCCCCGTCTTTACGTGGTCTCCCCTATGTCAGTTTCACGTCTCCTTCTGCCTTTTTCTAAGGACACGTGTCACTGGATTTAGGGACTCCCCCGCCCCTCCCCAGGGATAATCCAGGGTGATGTCACCTCCAGATCCTGAACTTAATCACCTGCACAAAGACCTTTCCCCCCAATAAGTTCATGTGCACAGGGTCCAGGGATTTGGCGTGGACATGTCTCGGGGACCGCCATTCTGCCCACTTTCCTCTGTGGGCTCCACTCCACAGCCTGGTGCCGGTCCTCCCCCCGAGTGGACCGTCCCACTGGTGGGAATGCGCAGAAACCGCAGCCAGTGCTGGGCCTCCTTGGAGGAGGGCGGTCCGGTGCAGGGCGGGAGTCCAGCCTGGCTGCGCTGGGAGCTCCTTGGGGTCTCTGTAGACATCCCAGGTGTCTACAGTTATGTTTTGATCAGAAACCCCAGCACAGCCCCTCAGACTACACTTTCCTGACGTTTCTTTGAACAGCCAGTTGGTCTCTCTGTGGCTCAACTGCTGATTTGATGACGTCGGGCTTGGTGTCGGCCCCGTGCATCCTCCCGCTCGGGCTCTGGCTGCCGCCGGTCACATCAGGCTGTTTGGTGGGACCTGCGGCGTCTGCTGCTGTACGGATGAGAAGCAGGGCCACCAGCTCCTCATGCGTCTGTCCAGCATCCCACGCAGGGGGGGACCGGGGAGGGGAGAGCCTCCGCAAGGCTCCGGCCAGCCCCCGTGGGGCGCGAGACCGTCCTTCCCGGCAGCTTCCCAGTTGCATGAATTGGTGTTTGTTTTGCAAAATCTTCACCTCTCCCCGTGAAAAAATAATAGTTGCTAATACTTGCGTGGATTGTTACAGTTTACAAAGGGCTTTCCAAAGCGCACCACCTCTGCTAAACCCCACAACCTGGTGAAGTGGGTAATATTAACACCCCCCACTTTTTTTTGAGGGCACTGAGGCCCAGGGAGGTTAAGGCGCTTTCCCAAGAAAGGGGCAGTGATGGAGTTGTGAGGGAGGAGGGAACTTTCTTTTGCTCTCAAGGTTCTTTTGGTGGATCAAATAACACAATAGATTTGAGACACGTTAGCACGAGAAAGCGACCAAATTTAACCACATACATATACATATGGGGATCCCGAGTGCGTGAGTGAGTCGGAGACGGGAAGGGAGATGGAGGTGTGTTTGACCTTCTCAGCTGCGGAGGGGCTCGGGAGCCCCAGTGCACCCTGGGGCTGGGGGGGCCACTGCAGGGAGAAAGCGCGGCCAGGAATTCGCGTGCCTGTCGCGTGGGCAGCTGGGAAGCCATTTCTGGTGATAACTCTTATTTTGGGGGCCAGGTTCCTGATTTCAGTTCTACGAGATCACAGGTGGCACACACGAGGCCTGTGGGCCGAACCGGGCCCTCCACCTTGGTTTATCCGGCCCGGCACCTTGTTTCTACCCGGCGGCAGTGCCGAGCTCTCGCTTAGCTGTCAAGGAGGAGTCACATTTATACAGTCCTAAATTACATTCGGCCCTCTGAAGGCGACCGTGAGGCTGGCGTGGCCCCCGGTGAAGATGAGTGTGGCACCCCTGTACTAGATAGTTAAGCCACTAGGGTGCGGAGCTGAAGTTGCTTTCAAGCCCCCAGGGTCTCGGTTGCCTTGGCTCAACTCAAAATAACTTGCCCCCCACTGAGGAGCATCTTGGGGTGGCTTGTTCTGAACCCCTGCAGAGCCAGGCTCAGAGCCAGGGAGCCTGACTTCCAGTCCCAACTGCAAGTCCTGAGCCCGGAAGGGGGTGCTCTGCCCCGCTAGGTGTGTGTCCCTGTAGGCCACCGGCCGACGTCCGCCCAGCGGCCTGCGCCTCGGTGCGGCTTCCCGCGTGCTCCCTCAGTCTCCACGGCAGGTCTGTGGCCCAGGCATCTTCGCTTTGTTACCTCGATAACCTGGAGAACGGAGAGGACTGTGACCAGCCCAGGGCCGCAGGCTCAGGGGAGGACGTCTCTCTCTCTCCGAATGCAGGAGGAAATGCAGAACAACGTGGAGGTGGTCCACACCTACCGCCAGCACATCATGAACGACATGAACCCCGGCAACCTGCACCTGTTCATCAACGCCTACAACAGGTACCGGAGGCCGCACGGCCGCGGCGCGGCCCTTCCTGCCAGGCTCCCTTCGTGGGCCTGGGTCGTGGGGTGAGGCAGAGGGGCATCGTAATATTAGGAGCAGCAGCAGCCTCTGAATTTGAGCAAATAGATGATCAGGACGAGGTGCCCTTAGCGAGGTGCCTCCTGGAGTTCGGAGCACTTTGCCATTCTAGACCACGGGGGGTGTAAACACGAGTGGGACTCGGTCACGCCCTCACAGGGTTGGGAGCACGGGCCTGTGACCACGGCGACCATAGGAAAGGACAGGTGAGAGAGGAAAGCTGAGAGAGAAGCAAAGCACTGGGGGCGGGAGGAGCCCAGGGAGGCTGCTGGGCAGTAGGTGAGTCATTCCCAGGATGGCGGACACCTGCACACAGCCTCTGGCAAGGGTGCAGCCCTCTGTTCCATAACCGGGCGCCTGTCTGGAGCTCGGCTAGGGCAGGAGACAGCTCGGGGCCCCTGGTGCCAGCCAGAAGCTCTGGAATCTCCAGGGAGATTCCATGCAGCCTGCCGGGCCAGCTCTGCCGGGCCAGCTCTGCCCTGCTCCCACTGATGGGGCCCAAAATGAGTTCCCGGGCTCTGTGTCTCCATCCTCCTGTGTTGGAATGTGACTTCATGATGTGCCTTGGCGTCCGTAAGGAAGTCCAGTGTCCACTTCCACCCTCCCAGGCGCTCAGTGGGGGTCAGGGAGTGGCGCTGTATCCCAGCGCGTGAGTGAAGACAGGGAGGCTGAGCGGTCCATTTGTTCTGCAAATGCTTTCTGAGACCTGGAGCTGGTCAGGCTGTCGGATGGGCAGTGGGCACACGGAGGGAACCACGGAGAGCCCAGGACTTGGAGCTGGGGGTGAGAGTGAGGCTCAGACTAAGGGTGGAAGCAGAGACTGATGGAGGGGCTAGCCACTGGTCAGGTGGGGGCTCCAGGGAGGCAGGGGCCCTCTGTGGTGAAGGACATGATTTATACTCGCATGAAAAGAAGGTGTTGGCGGCCACGAGGTGGGCTCTATGGGAAATGTCCCCGAAACCACTTCTATGGACCCCAGGAGGCTGTGGTGTCGCAAAAGCCACGTGACCTCACACAGGCTGTCCGGTGGGTGGCTTGCAATGGCAGGGCCTCCTGGGCTCAGCTCAGGGGGAGGGGCTGCCTCCCGGGGTGGGTCTGCTGATGCGATCAATGGTGATTTTGTCTTCCGTAGCCGGCGGGACCTGGAGATTGAGCGGCCCATGCCCGGAGTGCACACGGTCACCCTGCAGTGAGTTGCTCCTCTCCCCCTCGAGGTCTGGTTAGCTCAGCTCCCAGCTCCCGGCAGGGCCTGCCCTTCTGGTTTGGCAGGACGTGGTGACCAGTGAGAGTCTGCTCAGGGACTGGCACAACCCCGTCTCACTTGTCTTCGCCCTGCGCAGGGGCTCAGCTCCCAGGGTGGCCCCCAGACCTAGGCAGGAGCCTTGGACCGCAGACGAGTTCTGACCACACTTTGGACAGAATTTATTGAGCACCTACTTTGCATCGAATACTGCGTTAGCTTTGCTTCACAGCCCAGGGGTGACTGAGATGCAGGATGCCACCCCCACCCCAAAGTGCCCTATTAAATTAGCAGGAAAAGACAGGTTTGGAAACATGCAACTGTGTTCCACTAGCAGCAGTGGTGCCAACTGTTAGTTCCTTGAGTGAACCACATTATCGGAACCTGAACTTGGCACATGCCCTCTCCTGTGTCAGCCATGTTCTTTTTGTCTCTGATCTTGATTGCTGATGAAACCCTACTCATCCTTCCTTGAGGGGAGGGTGTTTCAAATAAAAAACATCAGGGCATAGAAATTCTCTGGTGAAATTTATACTAAGGTGTAAATGACTAACCTACCTATTTTATTCCAAAAATAAAGCAGAGGGTGGAGGGGAGATGGAGGAAAATGAGCAGAAAGTACCAAAATAATTTTTTTAGAACCTTGGCAGACCTGGGTTCCTAAGAATCGTTAAAATAAACTTTGTATTAATCCTCCTTTTTCTCCCTGCTCCCAGGTGTCCTGCTTTGCTGGTGGTTGGGGACAGTTCTCCTGCTGTGGACGCTGTGGTATGTAGAGACCAGCCCCTGGTCCTTGTGCTTAACTCAGCAGTCCAGATCCGACTGGCTTGTCTGTCTCCCTGCCTCCCTCCTTCTTCCATTGGCCTGTTTCTATGGGCGTGTTTTCCGCTTGGCTTCCTGGCCAGGAGACGTCCCTGCCCTTTGGGAGACCTGGGTGGTGCCCGATCGTCCGACAGGACAAGGGGCGCTGGGGAGCTTGGCTGAAGTGAGGCTTTCTGGCTCCTTTCACCCCTTAGTTTCCTCCCGTGATCTCGTGGAGACACAACACAGGGTCTGCCTTTCCAGCATCCCCACAGCGGGGGACCCGGGACACTTAGGATCTGTGGGGCAGAGACGTGCAGGGATGACACGCTGTGTGCAGTGGGCTGCGCAGCAGGACCCACAGCTGCTCATTTCACGGGGGCCTGGGTGCCTCCCTGAACCCTGAGGCTGCCGTCGTCTCCCCCACTGGGCCTCATGATAGGATGCATCAACAGAGATACATTGTTCATATTGAGGGAGGTGATAGTTCCCCTGTAGGGACCGTGAACTTCACAGGTTACAAGCTGGTATGCTGCCCTGTTTTGGATGTACTTTTAAGAGGCTCATGGACATGGGAGAGAGAAACCAGCTGGGTGGAGGGGATCCCATCAGAAGGACAGTTGTTGGGACTGGGGATGTCAAACCTGCAGCTCCCTGGCCTCAGCGGGTTAGCAAGGCCACTCACTGAGTGAAGATTTCCAGAGCACCTTGTACATGTTCGGTACTCTTCGTAACAACCCCTTACAATATATTCACCTCATTTTATTGAGGAGGAAACTGAGGCTCAGAGAGGTTAAGCGACTTGCCCAAGGCCACACAGCTAGTCATGGCAGGGCTGGGGTGGAAGGCCACATCTGTTCAGTCCCAAATCCTGTGTTCTTCCTTCCATGCTGGTGGGAACACGGGGCCTCTGGGGAGGGGGCAAAGGTCGTGCCTTTGGCTCCAGGTAGAAATGAACAAATTTCTCTCCCTCCCCTTGTCCAGGTGGAGTGCAACTCGAAACTGGACCCAACAAAGACCACTCTCCTCAAGGTACAAAGAAAATGACGAGTTTGCATTTGTTCTTAGAAATGCTGACATTTCCCACAAAAACTGAGTTGTACCTGATTTAGGCAAAGCGGGTGGTCAGAAATGAGAGAAATAGTTATTTAACGTACCTGTTCGCAAACATCTATTGGGTGCTGGCTGGTAAGATGAGAGGATCCCTCTGTGGGACCCCAGGGGTCTCCAGGCTACAGCCTGTCGCCCTTGGGATCTGACCTTGAGCCTGGGCAGTAGGGGGGCCTGGCGTCACCCACTCTCTGGCTCTTCCCATCCATTTCCCCCGAAAGGCGTCCCTGTGCTCCTGAGCCGGGGCCCGGCCACCCCCGCTCCTGGGTCGGCGCTCACACAGGCCTGGGTGGCGTTCATAAGCGCCGATGGCTTTAGGTTTGGTGATTTTGTAGCGGCGTGGGGAGCGAGCCCACTGACCAGGGGCAGCCCGTCGGGAGCCCGGGAGGCCTGGGGTCCGGAGCCCAGCAGCTTCTCCCCACGGGCACCCGTGAAGGGAGTGTGCGCCCAGGGCCGCGTGTGGCTCCCCAGCGCTCTGCGGCCCAGTTTCTGCCCCTCACAGGGGGCAGTCCACCTTCCAGCGTTCTTGGGGAGCAGAGTAGAATTACAGACAGGGCCTGGCAGAGTGCCCTGCGATCAGAAGCTACAAGTCAGGGTGGCCAAGAAGACGCAGTTCAGTGCTGAGACGGACAGGAATAGAAGCGGCCTTGCGAGAGGGCTGGGCGTTTCTCTGTGTACGATGCGCCCGGCGCCCGGCAGCGGGCAGGACGGGTACCCACGGGCGGCCGGTGCACAGAGCAGGGATCACCGTCGCCAAGGTCTGTGGCACTAACCGGCCTCCCTGTCTTCCAGATGGCGGACTGTGGTGGCCTCCCGCAGATCTCCCAGGTGAGTCCCCTGTCACCGCTCCCCGGCACGTGCCTCTGAGACCTGTGACTACCTCTGTGCATCCGCTCAATGGGGAACGGAGATATTTTCAACCTTCTGTCTGTTATTATGTTTGGCTCATTTGCTAGCTGGGGGTAGCCTCAGAGAAATGAGAAGTCCCAGTCACAGGGGGGGAACAGAAGAGCTCCCAGGAGCTCCCTGCTGAGACATGACCATGAGTTAATGCCCACGCCTTAGTGATGGGGCCGTCCCCCGTCCAGTCCAGCTGACCCTGGGGCCCCTGCTGGGACTGAGTGCTTCCAGGGCCTCCTTGGGCTGGACCTGCAGAAGGGGCGCCATTTTTCCTTGCCTCTCTCCTCCCTCCCTCCCTCCCCTTCCTTCTCTACTTGACGTGAGAACAGACCTGACCGTGGCCATCTGTAAAACACTTTAAGTGTCCTGGCAGGAGCTGAGCTAGCCCAGGGTTTCGAGAAATGAGCCAGGGAGGACCCGGGACCGTGTAATCGCTGCTCCTCCGGCCTGGCGAGCGGGTGTTCCCACGCGCCCTTCCACTTGAACCCTGCAGCAGCCCTGGGCTGGGTTATTGACCGGCTGGGGAGTGTGTATGAAAGAGCACTGACCTCGTAAGGCGGTTGCCAGGGGAAAAGGAGATGAGGCTGCCGAGCGTCAGCCCGTGAGCGGCGCAGGATACGTGGTTACTTACGTCCCAGATGCCGGGTAGGACCGTCCCTTCGTCCCTTCTTCACCTCCACCCCGTGTGGTCTGCCTCTCCCAGCCCTCAGCGGCTGGCGTGGCTCCCTGTCCTCCTTTCACAGGGCAGGACTCCGCTCACACAGGTCATGTCCCGAGGCCAAGCCTCCGCAGCCGTGAAGCGCCTTTGACTCCTCCTCCCTCCCCACAGCTAATCTCAGCCCCCATAACTACGCCATAAATCGGTCCTTTCCTTTCGTGTATCGACACGTGGTGGCCTTCTCTCCTGGGCCAAGGGCTTTGAGGAAGGTGACCAGAGGCACCGCCTACATGGCCCTTCCCGAGCGGGAGCCCTGGTGACGGACGCCGCTGTCCCCTCTGTTCTCTTGCAGCCCGCTAAGCTCGCCGAGGCCTTCAAGTACTTCGTGCAGGGCATGGGCTACAGTAAGTGTGGCGCTGCCCGGCGGGCGGGGGTTGGGGGCCGGGGGCCGGCGGGGGCCTGGGAGTGTGGTGTCCGGCCCCAGGTTGGGGTGAGAACCCCGGAACGGCCTGGCCAGCTGCAGCCTTCTGCCGGCCGGGCGGGGCGGGGCGGGGGCAGGAGAGTCAGGGCTGGCGGCAGTGCTGACCAAGTGCCTCGCCCCGCCGGGGCCCCTTCTCCCTCCCTGGTCGGACAGGAGACACGTGTCTCACACCGGGGAACGTTCGGAGACGGGGGGTGAAGGCCACCCTTTTCAGCTTCAAGGAGACAACGAACAATGAAACGACGGAAATCTTTCTTAACGTTGATCACTGCTTTCTCCAGAGACTTTCAGTTGTGGTGATGACGGTGGTGGGGGACGATTATTCACAAGTCCTCTATTCGTTCTCATTTAACCACCCAAATCATCCCACGAGATACTCTTATCCTCATTCTACACGTGATGACACAGATGAGGCTTTGAGAGATGAAGCCAAGAGCCAAGTGGGGGTTCTGCGAAGGTTCCTTAAAAGCTATAAAATAGCTCTGAGTATAAGTGGGTGCTGAAGCTGCTTCTATTTAGAACCGAGAGTGTCTTTGCTAGAATACCAGATCTGCGAGCTGAAGGGTAAGCAGCAGCACCGTGCGGCTGCTGCTTGTGTTGTGGATAATTGTAGTTGATTCGTCAGACACCCGCGGTCTGACCCAGATGGACGGACGGACGGACAACCGCGAGTTTGAGCGCTGTGCCGGGAGTGGCTGCCGCTGGTGCCCCTTGGAATACCAGCCGTGCGGTTCTGCCCTGATGTGGTTGCTTGGGCTCTGCCTGCCTCCCGCTTGGAAGGATAATTTATGTGCCCGTCTTAACTAGGAAGTCTTTGTACTTCCAGCGTCTCTCGCTTTTTTCTCCGAGACTTAAACCGTTGGCTCGTTTAAAATAGTCACAGTACGTCTGACCACAGTTCTAAGATTGGCCTCGGCCCTGTTTAGTTTCTCGTGAGGCCGAGAACGGGCGAGGCTGATTTACCGGTAGGCGCTCGGGGCGCGGTCCCTGTCCCCGGGTGCCGTCTGCCCGCAGAATCCTCTGTAGGTGGGTCGCCCGCCGTGCGTCCGGGCGGCCCTCCCCGTGACACAGCGCGCAGGCAAAGCAGTGGGTGGCCAGGTAGCGCCGGGGCTCCTGCGTTTCCCCTGCAGGCGGTGAATCGCGACTCCTTTGCTGGGCCTCCCCCAGGTCCGGATTCCGGCTTGGAAAGTGAATTCTGGGGAGAAAGGAAGCAAAAGGCAGGCCTCGTTTATCCCCCCCACGTCGCCGAAGCATCCTGCAGGTCGCAGGGAGACCACAGGCAGAGCTAGAGCCCCCAGAACGTCCCCCGAAGCGGAAGAAAGTGGTCGCGTATCGAGCGCCTACTGCAGGTGGCGGGCGAGGCGTGACCAGCCCGTCGTGTCCACGACACTGTCCCGTAGTGGAGAAGGGCATTCGGTGCGGCAGGGGTGGCCTCTGCGCTTAGGTGTCCGCCACAGAGAGCCCACACGTGTGCCCATCGGGTGAATGCTGTCACCTGACACGCATGAGCGTGTTTCAGCCGCCTCAGTGTGACATCCATGTCATTCCACGTGGCCTTTGCGGTGAGGTTTCGCTTAGCTGGTGTGGCTGCCGGGACGGATCCCCACAAACTGGGTGGCTCAGAACAACAAAAATGTACCCTCTCACACCACCGCCGTTCGTTGGCCGGAAGTCCCAAGTCGGGGTTGTGGGTGGCACCGTGCTCCCTCCCGCCTGTCTGGGGGGTTCCTTCCCCGCCTCTTCCAAGCTTCTGGTGTTGCCAGCAGCCCTCGGGGTCCCCGGACCTGCAGCTGCGTCGCTCTGATCTCCGCCTATTACCCTCCATGTCCTTCTCCTCTGTGTGGCTGGGCCTCTGTCTCCTCTGTTTGGGAGGACACCGGTCACAGCATTAGCGTTGACCCTAATCCCCTGGGACCTCGCCTTAACTTACTAGGTCTGCAGAGACTCTCTTTCCAAATAAGGCCCTGCTCTGATCCCAGTGGACAGGAGTTTGGGGGCACTGTTCGACCCAGTACAGACGGGGGACTGTTTTGTCCCCGTTACATTTTACCGGCCGCCTGCCCCGTGCAAGGGCGTGTTGAGCCCCAGAGGATGGGCAGCGCCCCTGATAGTCCCTGGGAGCCCAGGGGCTTCTCGGGAAAGGGACAAGGCCACGGACAGCCAGCTCTGCCACAGATGCACCACGTGGCCTCGGAGTCCCCACCTTTGGTCAGCTGACCTCGTTAACATCCGAGTGCTGGCTGACAGGACAGGGCGGCAGACGTGCACACGAGCGCCGATTCTGTGGGGTCCACGCGAGTGTTCCCATTTTATAGATGGGGCTGCGGGGCTCCGAGGGGGACGCTCCCCAGGTCACAGAGCTGGTCAGCAAGTGCCAGAACTGGGGGGTCAGACCCAGGTCTGAGGGGAAGCCACTGCGGTTGCAGAGAGTCCTTACCCCCTCGGGGCCTCGCCGTCCTGCATCCGTGAGACGGCGCAAGGATGACAGGGCGCTCAGGGGCTGGGTCACTGGGAGGCTGGGTGGGACGCCAAGACTTCTCGGCCAGGCCGGGCGCCGAGGACCCCGCGCTGCTGGGACTGGTGTAGAGGCTACAACAGTTTGGAAAAGCAAATCTAGGTAGTGACGTTGAAATAGATTTGTGAAGTTCGTGCACCTATAGAGCTGCCCCTGGCGTTCTCCCACCGCTAACGGTTCTGTCCTCTCTCCCCAGTGCCCTCGGCCAGCATGACCCGCCTGATGCGGTCCCGCACGGCCTCGGGCTCCAGCGTCACGTCCCTGGAGGGCAGCCGCAGCCGCTCCCACACCAGCGAGGGCACCCGCAGCCGCTCCCACACCAGCGAGGGCACCCGCAGCCGCTCCCACACCAGCGAGGGCGCCCGCCTGGACATCACCCCCAACTCTGGCTCCGCCGGGAGCAGCGCCGGGCCCAAGTCCATGGAGGTGTCCTGCTAGGCGGCCTGGGTGGACGGCCGCTCCCCCCCACCCACCCCGGACTGTGGGACCACCATAGCTGCCCCCTCCTGCAGCCCCCTCCTGCCCCCTGCCTGCCACACTGCACGTAACTCGGTATTAATCCAAAGCTTATTGTGTAAGGGTGAGCTCCGGCAACGCCAATGTCAGAAGGGATTTGTCGAGGGCCAGGCGGGGGTGGGTGGAAGGAAAAGAAGCGCCTCGGTGGCCTGCTGGCCGCAGCCTCTCCCTCCCTCAGAGATGCCAAACTGCCAAAAACGAGCAACCCAGAGGGGACTGTGTCAGGATTCCAAGCCTAGGCCGACCTGGGCATCCTGCTTCTAAGGGGCATTTTTGTCAGAAGTCCAGCCCACCTACTTCCGGTTTCCTCTCCAGCTAAGGACCCACCGACCCAGTTTCTGGAAACAAAACCCTCTTCTGGTTTGGGCGGGGGGAGGGAACAGGGAATTGTGGGCCACTCATTTAGACAAAACAGGACATGGGAAAAAGAGGTGGGACTTGTGTAGAGGCTAGACCAGTTTGGAAAAGCAAATCTACGTAGTGACGTTGAAATAGATTTTTGAAGTTCGTGCATATGTATATGTATATATATATACTTAATGCTGAAGCATACAAGTCTGCTTTTCCCACGTTCGTGTAATGAACATGAAAGCAGGCAAGAAAATCTCCTGGCTTTACAAACAAAACAAAACCAAAAACGGTCTCAGCAAACGTTTGGTGTCCTGGGTTTAAGGCATCGGCTCTGTTCTCTGCCTCCTCCTCCTCAGCCCCTGCTTCCCACCCCAAATACATGAATGAACGGTTATTTCATTCACGGGGAAGATCCTTTAAGTATGTGGTTGCTTTCCTTGAGGTGGAGGGGACACACGGAACAGCTGGACCTGGCTGCCCGGAGTCTCCACGCACTGGGGGCGGGGGCTGGGGCGGGGTGGGGGTGGGGCGGGGCTTGGGAACTAGATGTAAGTCAGAGAGTCCTTGTGGTTGTGACAAAATCCAGTGTAGTAGTGATTGCAATTGATCCCATCCTGGTTTCCAGGAATCTTCTGTGATTGAGTTAAGCCTTTGACAACTGGGGTTGCATCTGAGCTGGATGGCCCAGTGTTTCTGGCCTGGTGACACTCCTGGGTCTTTGGACGGCCCGTCTGCTTCTGGCCGGGGTGGGGACTGGGGTGGGGGGCGGTGGCTGAAGACACAAGGGTTCTGGGGCGTGTACTCCACAGGATTTCCTCCCTGCTCCTGCCTCCTGCTCTTCCCCACCCCTCTAACCCCCTCTCTCTGAACGGGGTGGCACCACTGACATTTCGGGGCAACGCCGGCGTCGCTGCCCAGTTCCTGTACTACTGCCCTTTGACCTTCATTCTGGCTAACACGGATCTTCTAGGAGGTTTGATCAGCGTGAACAGGACTTTGAGCATTGGCCGCTGGGACCTCGTGGTTTCTGGGACCCCGGAGTCAGTAGGAGGAGGTCGCCAAACCTTGTGGGGAGCTTGAGGAGTGACGAATGATGCGGTTCGCCTGCCACGTAGCCCCTGGGAGGCTTGCCCTGGCCTTGTGTGCAGGGGTCAGGGGTCAGGGCGGGAATGGCCGAACCCAGACGGAAAACCGCTGTGTACAAGTCTTTTCCAGAGGAGTTTCTTAATGAGATATTTGTATTTATTTCCAGACCAATAAATTTGTAACTTTGCAGTGGCTTGTGTGTTTTTTCCCTCTCCCCGAGAGCGCGTGCTTGTGGCCTTGGGGCACAGGGGACGGGTCTCTCCCTACCTGGGGCAGCTGCCACGGGCCTCTTGCCTTGGGTTCGGAGCGCCGCCGTCCGGTACAAGCGTAAAGGTCAGCTCCGGAGTTTCTGGTAGCCACAGCAAGCAAGAAAGAAACCGGTGAATTCAATTTGAATAATGCATTTCGTTGAACCCAATGTACCCCAGATATTACCATTTCAGCATAAAATCAACGTAAGAGTTATTCAGCCATTTCAAATTCTTTCCTTTTCTCCCCCCCCCATTCTTTCCTTTATACCACGAACACCAGTGTGTATGTCACATCACAGCTCCTCCCCCGTCAGACCAGCCCGCATTCCGCTGCTCGAAAGCCGGGACAGTGCAGTGACAAGGGGTAAAGCTTTTCAACCTGCCAGGGGAGGGAAACATCTTTTTTCTTTTACGTTTTATGTTTATTTTAGAAATGCATGTGGGAAGATCACTCCTTTTCTCACATCTAATAACAACCACAGCAATGCTTGTTTCTACTGAAAAAAAAAAAGTGCAATAGGTTTTAGTATAACCTCCCATTTTTCTTTAAACTTTGAAGATTAGTGTAAAATTTATAAAACAATTATGAGTACAGTGAGCTCCCATATGCCCCTCCCCCAGTTCTCATTATTATTCATGTCTTACATTATTATGGTACGTCGGTCACCACTAAGAAATCAACATGGAGCCCTGGCTGGTGTAGCTCAGTGGATTGAGTGCGGGCTGCGAACCAAAGCATAGCAGGTTCGATTCCCAGTCAGGGCACATGCCTGGGTTGCAGGCTGTGACTCCCAGCAACCGCACATTGATGTTTCTCTCTCTCTCTCTCTCTCTCCCTTCCCTCTCTAAAAATAAATAAAATCTTTAAAAAAAAACCTATGGTAATTTAACATTAAAAAAAAAAGAAATCAACATCGACACATTGTTATTAACCAAGCTCCACGCTTGACTGGGATTTCCCTCCATTTTCCCTGTTGCCACTTTTCTGTCCCAGGGTCCCGCCAGGATGCCACAGCACATGTAGTCGCTAGGTCTCCTCGGCGTGCTGGGGCCTGGAGCGGCTTCTCACACCTGCCTGGTTCTGACCTCGGCGGTTCTGAGAAGCGCGGTCGGGCATCCGGCCGCACGCCCCTCCGCGGAGGTTTGTGCGAGGCCTCGCTCCTGGCTCGGCCAGGGTTCCGGGTCTCTGGAACGAAGGCCGAGGAGGGGAAGCGCCTGCTCCTGCTGGGTCGGCGTGGCTCATCGCCGCTGGGCGGAAGGAACCTGGATCGCCGGGCTCCGGGCGCGTTTGCCGGGCCTCTCCCCTGCCCTCACCTTTCCCCACCCTCCTTTCGAAGCAAGACACCCAGCGCAGCCCCCACTGGAGACACGCCCGCTTCGAACGGCTGTCATGCTGTTATCCATAATGGTTTCTCGTCTCGTACCTTGGAGACGGTGTCAGAGTGTGTGCTGAGCTGCAGACACACACAGGGCATCGTCGTGGGGCGTGGAGGGGCTGTAATCCGCGGCTCCGTCCGGTAGGAACTGGCTCCGGAACACGGAGAAGGAGCTGAGTGGGTGCGGGTGGTGGGTGAGACGGCATCCCCAGCAGAGGGCCAGCACGGACCCCGGCACGGAGGGCGGGAGGTGTGCGCGTTCTACGAGAAAGCTGTGCACGGACCCTGGGCACGTGACTACGTGACTGCGTGACTGCGTGCCGTGCGTGCCGTGCGTGCCGTGCGTGGCAGGAAGTGGGGCAGGAAGAGGATTGGATGCATACAATACAATGCCTAAGATTACAAAAGAAACCACTCACCGTGGATGGAGTACAGCTGCCCCGATGGTGCAACCCTGTGGCAGAGCATCACGTGCTTCGCATAAACAAGCTAAATCAGGAGGTGGAGGCAGGGCTCCGCTTCATTTCCAGGCAGCGATCAACACAATACCTTGCATACTTACCACAGTTGCACTAAGAAAAACATAACGTGATTTCAGCCAGATGACGTTAGGGTTTGTGCCCATGTTTACATAGAGAAAAATGCTGAATTGTAATTAGAGGTTAGTAAAAAAAAACAAAGATGCATTTTCTTTCACCCAAGGACGTGGCCCCTGAGATCCACTGGTGGATTCTTGGTCTGAGGACGCAGGTGGAGAAGCCCTGCTCCGGGGGCGGGAGGAGGAGCGCGTAAGCTCATCCGTATTCCGCATTCACAATAAGAAGTGCCTGTTGGCGCCAGCTCCGGGCGGCAGTCAGGACAAAGAAGGGGCAGGTGGTGGGAAAGCCAGCGGGCGATCAGCAGGGCAGTGGGCGCACACACGTCAGTGTTGGGGAGGGGGCGGCACCAGGGAGTGAACTGCCGCAGGGCTTTGCAGGTGCTGGCTGTTATTTACACCCAGGTGCTCCGCCTGGGGGCTGTTTTGCCAGCTGGGGAGTCTTCCCAGAGCTGCTTGTTTTGGTTGCGATGCCCTGGCACGCAGGTCCCTGCAGCAGCTGGGAGACCAGGTGTGCACGGAGCTCAACCACCTGCAGGTGTGCAGGGCCAGCCCAGGTCTCCATCCGCTCCTTCCTCATGGCGCCTTCTCAGACACAGCCTCAGCGTGTGAACCATTCAGTGGGTTCTAGATGCAGCCTACATCATCTCATTGCAGATTTGTCTCGGGCTTCCCGGGCTGCATGGAAACCCTTTGACTGTGGCCCACGTGGAATGCAAGGGCGGAAGGTGACCCTGACCTTATGAGGAGGCAGTTGAGATCAGGGAGGGGTCCTTGTGGGCAGATGCCCCTCCTTCCTCCTAAGACCAGACTGTTTGGCATCTCCAAAGCACAAAATGGAGGTCCTAAGCCCGGGCCTACAAGACCTTTTGGCCCTCGGACCCAGAACCAATCAGGTATTTGCGTCCCAAAGCAGGAGGAATCTAATTAGCCCAGCTGGACTCAGGTGTTTCCACTCACTGTCCAATCAACTATGACTGGGTTCACTCCACTCCCGCCCCCTCCCCCACGCACAGGCAACAAAGGGCTCCCAGCCATTGGTGTAGTTGTGGCCCGTGAATTGCTATGTCCTGTGAAGAATTAAGTCCACTGACCGCAAACTGCCTGCTGTAGGACAGGCCCTCACTCATGCCTGCTCCGAGACGTGTTTCCGGAAGGGCCCTCTCCCAGGGAAGCACGGACCGGGAGGCAACGGCGCCCTGGCCTCAGTCGCCAGTGCGGCCCCTGGAACACGCCTCGCCTCACATTTCCTCTTCCCCTCACTAGCATTTCTTGTGTATCTCCAGGGGCCGCACGAGTGTCCAGCACAGAACAAGAGGTTGTTGCTAAATAAATAAGCACTTCCTCTAGTAATGGCAATATTCAGCTCAGCTTTTAGTTTCTTGCCTCCTCTTCTCTTTACCTGTGACACTGAGATATCCTCACTTCATAGATGAGAACTCCAAGGCTCAGGAGATGAAACGGCTTGTGCAGCCACGTCTAAACCAGACCACATCTCTTCTGCCTTTAAAATAGCTCCTGAGCCCTGGCTGGCGTAGCTCAGTGGATTGAGCGCGGGCTGCGAACCAAAGTGTCGCAGGTTTGATTCCCAGTCAGGGCACATGCCTGGGTTGCAGGCCATGACCCCAGCAACCGCACATTGATGTTTCTCTCTCTCTTTCTCCCTCCCTTCCCTCTCTAAAAATAAATAAATAAAATCTTAAAAAACAACAACAACAACAACAACAAAAAAAAATCAGCACCTGAGCACACAGCTTGCGCAAGCACCCACCGATGTCCTGGGCCAGCGGAACATCAGTGAGTCCCCGGGACTCCCATCCTGGATGCCCCTCAGGCTGTTCATTGGCTGCGGGGCTGTTCCCCCTCCACCAATAGCCCCGCCCAGATGTGGCTGACTCACTGTGCTTTCTAGCTCATCCTCGATCCCTTCGTTTCTTCTGCTGGAGAGCTGACGTTTTCTCACGGCTGCAGACAAGCCTGCTTCTAGTAACTTCCTCTCCCTTTTTGTGGGAGGGGCTAAGAAATCCTCTGTGTTAACACTGTGTGGAAAGTAGGAGTCGTCGGTTTCGGCGTGGAGGTCCGGAAACGCTT